ACTGTCTTTTTTTTTTTAATCCTGTAGATACAATTTAGCCATTTTTTTTCTTTTAGCTATGGTTTTGCTACATTTAGCTTTTAGCTACTGTTTTGATTTCTGCAGTTTTGCTACTTCTGCTTTTAAGCTATGGACTGGTTGAATTAAAGTTTGACTATATTTAGCCTTTAGCTGTGGTTTTGCTAAGTTAGGCTTTTAGCTTTTATTTAACAAATTTTAGACAGCAGTTATGATTTTGCTGCATTTAGCTTTTAGTGCTATTGTGTTCTATTCGGCTTTTAGCTAATGTTTTCCCAATATTAGCTTTGAGAAATTGTTTTGCCAATTTGAACTACAAGCTACAACTTAGCCACTACCAGCTATGGTGTTGCCAATTTTAGCTTTTAGTTACAATTTTGCCGATTTTAAATGTTAGTTGTGGTTGGCCAATTCTAACATTTTGCAGCTGTTTGCTACATTTAGATTTTAGCTACCATTTTGCTAATTTGAGCTTTAAGCTATATGGCGTTGCAACATTTAGCTTTTAGCTACTGTTTTGCTCATTTCAGCTTTTCGCTGTGGTTTTTTCAAATTAAAGATATCATTATGACTGCTACATTTAGGTTTCACTTATAGTTTAGCTGAATTTAGCATTTAGACAGTTTTGCTAATTTTAGCTTTTAGCTGTGGCTTTCCTCATTTTAGCTTTCACTATGATTTTGCTACTTTTAATCTGTATTTGTAATGTTGCTAAAAAAATTTATCTACCGTTTTGCTATAGCTTTTAGCTACTGTACCTTAGTTTAGCTTCAAGCTATAAGCTACAGTTTAGCTCATTTTAGCTACCGTCTCTAATTCAAGCTTTTAGCCGTGGTTCTTCTAATTCTAGCATTTACTTCTGTTTTGCTCTGTTTAGCTATTAGCTACTGATTTGCTAACTTTACCTTTTAGGAAATGTTTTGTTACTTTTAGCTTTTAGCTACATAAAAATATTTAACTAAAGTTGTGTTCTGCCCATTTTAACTTTCACAACTAAGTTGGAGTTATTGTGTTTTAGCTAATTTTAGCTGAAACTTTCAGCTGTTAGTTTTCATTGCGTTTTCGCAAACTTTTATTTCTCTAGTTCTGTTTGTTAGAAACTTATGAGAAATAAAAGTTAATTTGTATAAAACATTTTAGACTTTTAGACTAGAACACAGACTTTATGTAAGATTTTATGAAGAGAATTATTTTTAGTTTTTTCTATGTTCTGAAAATAAAATATAAATCCCAGAATCACATTTTGATGAACTAAAATGTGATTAAAGTGATTTATTTGGATCAATCCATGAAAAGCTCGTCATTATAATATTTTTTAAACAACTTTGTAGCTTTTTATGAGTGTTAATCCCTAAACTTTGAACACAGAACAGCTTTTAAGAACTAGATGTTCTGTGTGGCCCATTAGACGCTGTTTGGACCCACTCTGAGCGAATGATTAATTCATCACGGCTGTCTTTAAAAATGAAGGCGCTTACTTCAGTCTTGGCAACGTGAACTCACTGCAGGAAGACTCGCGAGTCATACGTTACTTTAATTGTCACCTGGACAAACGACTGATTAATTTAGCTTTAAGAAGAAAACGGATCCTGTGAAGTGCTCGACAGAACAGAGATTTTAAATGCAGATTGCTCAGCGTGTTGACTGAACGTGGCAGCAGGCCCGTCTGCACCGAACATCTTGAGAGGCAGAAGGTTGACTTTTATTACGTAACTGTTGCTGCTAGTAAAGTTTAATCTCCTAATCTGAGGGTTTAAATATGTTTCAGCTACTCAAAGAGATGATTTGGATCTTATGAAGTAGAAAAAGGTTCATGCACAATAAGCATCTTACCTGTTAAAGATAGCATTCTAGTCTGGAGAAGTGGAGTTTGATTCTGACCAGGTTGCTAATCTGTAGAGGACTGAGAATAAAGTGGAGTGCTGCAAATTTAAAACCATAATCTCAGACACAGCTGCTAGTTTTTTATTATTCCAGTAAATTATTTAATTGTTCTACAGGAGGTACTCCAGTGTGTGTTCTTGCAGATGACCAGACCGTGTAAAGTGATCCCGTCTGCCCCTGGCCTGTTTTTCCTCTTCTCCTGTAGGTGGCGCTGTGGGTTTCAGCTCTTGTTGTTTTCATTAACCCCCTTTACAGTTTCCCCTTATAGCTGCATTAAATGCCTAAAAAAAAAACAAGGCACACCCAAGTTAAATTAGATGTTGCTCTTCAACCTTTAGCAGTGCATGCAGGAGTTTAGTCTCTTGTAAACATTACACTTTCAATGTTTAACTGCAGACATCAAAACTACTGTAGTTTGTACTCAGTGGGAATGATTGGCTCTGGAGAGCCCAGTTGGCCAAAAGAGGTGTTGATTAAAAAAATTAAAAAGGGGGGAGCTATACAGCCATTTTATTGTCCCCAGGCGTCAAGCGAAGAGGAAATACCGTTCGTCCATCCATCTGTCTGTGTAAAGAGCATGATAACTTTAAAGATAAGTGAGGTACCGACTTCCTTTTTTGATGTGTGGCTGAATCTAGGCAGGAGAAAGATCAATCCAAAATGGCTGCCACCATACAGTATACAGTAGTCTCTCGTCTATCACGGGGGTGATAGATGAGGGACCTACTTCACGATAAGTGAAAAACCGCGAAGTAGGAATGGTAGTACAAGTTATCCTGATGCATGCTCAGGTAGTACAAGTTGTACAGTTCGATATATGCGTTTTAAACCCTTCCCACTATTGCATTATTCTAAACAATGTTTCTAAACTCTAAAGTGGCGCAGAGGTTAGAGAGGTGGGCTTGTGATCCGAAGATTGCCGGTTCACGCCCCGGCCCCGACAACATCAAAATTGTGGGTGGGGTAGGTGAAACACTCACACTTGCCCCCACCCTCATTCGCCCCACCCTGGGCCCATGAGCAAGGCCCTTAACCCCCACCATGTGCTCCCTAAACAGGTCTCTCTTGAAAATGAGTTCTCGTGGCTCAATGAGACTAACCTGGATAAATAAAGGCTAAATGAAAAAAAGAGCTCATGGTTTCAGAGCTCTTGGCCACGCCCACTTCTCCGCTGCAGCGCAGAGATTATGTTCTGTTTTCAAATCCAGTTGGATTAAGAGGCTCCAGGCACTGAAGACATGAAGACTGAACACACAAGTCTTCTTAAAGTAATAAACAATATCCATACACCAAAGTTCATGCTCAATAATCCAGGTTAAAATCCAATAATGAAAATTTAAAAAATCCATACGAAATATTTCTTGTGTTAATGATTGACATGTACTTAAGTAAAAACGGTAAACTAACTTTATGCCAACTACCAGATGTGTTTTTTTGTTTTTACCAACAGAAACAGCCAAAGTGACTGAATGAATGCAGTGAAACAAAAAAAATTACCGTATTTTTCAGATTATAAGGCGCACTTAAAATCCTTTAATTTTTTTTCTAAAATGAACCGTGCACCTTTTATGAATTAATTCTGGTTGTGCTTTCTGACCTCGAACTGATTTATGCGGTTATTGTGAATGAGTTGGAATAAAGTTTGACTTCTCTGACCGTTCTGTTTCGCTTAATTCGCCTTATAGTCCGAAAAATACGGCACCCATTTCAAAGTTTTTTAAAAGTTGTGTATTTCAAGGCTGAGCTCTTTTTATTACATACGCTAATTTTATTTGTTTTTATTGTTATATATTTTTGTGTTTGTTTGTGGCGCTCCACAGTCCAGCTTGATCCCCATGATTTATTTTTGACATGTATTTTATGCTTTTTTTTTTTTTACGTCTACGGTTAGCAGCACGTTTGTTTAAATGCACAGACGGTTGGTCGATGACATAACTCAGGTCTCCACATGCGCTTTGTTTACACTGAGTGTGGACCTGCATTTTAGAATTGCATATAAAAATGTCTAGAAAACTTTTTTTTTTTCAATTTGCACTATTTGATATTGTTCAGGGAAACAATTTAAAGAGCGACTGTATCTACAACAGGTAAGATACTGCGCGCTTTGTTGAACATAAATACATTATTATGGCTTCTATAATTAATTTCTATAGATCTGATTAGACTTTTCTTGATGGATGTTCAAGTTGGCGTTAAACTTCAGCTTCTCTTACGTTCTGTCATTGCAGGAATTTCAGGTTCTTTGTCTCGTTTAGTGAAATGAATCGCCTGCAGCCAGCGACGAGCCTGAAGGGCAACAAGCGCTCAACTCCAAGACCGGTTCCATCTCAGCTGGGGTGCCTCGTCATTTTGCTGCCGGTGATGTTACCAAAAAAACAAGGTTTTTATGTGCACACACCCATGCCCCCCCCCCCCCCCCCCCCCCCACACACACACACACACACACACAAGGTCTGCAGGAATATCATAATCAAATCATGACACCAATAGGTCTATGTCTCATTCTAACTAGATCTTGGCCTCCGTGTACCTTAAGCTGTTTGTCTGGTTCAGGTTTACATGACACAAGCACGTGCACACACACACACACTCTGAAACCTGCACCCACAAGTGCATGTAAAAACGTAAAACAAGCAGAGCGGCTTGTCGTCTTCTGGCGTAGAGCCGAGCAACAACTGACCCACCATCCTGTTCCTGCTCCCCCACCACCACCACGTGACACCCCCCTCTCCTCCTCCCACTGATGCTGCCATAAAACAGGCAAGATTTTATGTACACCCACCCCTCCAGACCCACCTACTCAACACCAGCACCACCTCTCCAGGGGCATCTGCAGGAGTATTATTATCTAATCAGAGTTCTAATAAGACAAAACAAGAGCCAGACCCTGAAACACACCAACACACACACCAGCTCGCTCCTATGCACGCACATACATCAGTATGTCTTTAGTACAGGCAGCGAGAGGAGAGACTCAGTATTAGTATTCAGAGCACAGGGAGGAAAAGGAGGAGAGGCAGTGCGCGAGCATAGCGAGAGAGCGTGTAAGGGAGGGGACAGGAGGACAAGGTGGGGAGGAAAATATAAAAAGAAGAAGAGGGGGAACCGAGAGGAACCAGAGGGGAGAGGAGATTTATCTCATTGTTCAGTTCTCCCTCTCAGTCTGCCTTCCCGGTGTAGAGAGAGGACGACAGCAAGGAGTGGGAGGGGGGGGGCGCACGGAACGAAAGAGGGCGGAATGCCCCTTTACAGGCGTCGCATCTGACCGAGCAGCTCGGAGGAGAGAGGACCGCGGCTCCTGCGACGTGAAGGTAGGAAGATGCTCCTGTAAACATCCGTGATGTCAGCGATGTTCTCCATCCTCCTCATCCCCGACCCAGCAGCACGAGCCTGTTTTCTATTAATATTTAATGTTCAGCCTTTTATTTCTGCATCAGCCTGCCTCCTTTATAACACATCCTACAGCTTGGTCGCCTGTACGTCCGTATATAAAAATATATTTGTGTATTTTATATAGTGGGGATGTGGAGGAGGCAGCCTTCAGAGCTGATTCGTAATGGCAGCTCTCCGCTCACAATCATTTCACTTTTATCTTTTTCTTTCTTTCTTTTTTTAAATAATTTGGGTTCTAGGATGAACAGACGGTATAGGGTGTGCACACGAGCATGCATAACGCACACATAGAGGACAGGTTGACGTGCGTACGATGTGCGTACCCCCCTCCCCCTTCCCTTCCATCCCCCCCAGCCTATCTTCAAAGCCAGTGTCCCAAATTCAAATGAAATGAAAAACCCAAAGACTGAGACGCACAGTGTCCCAGAGAATCTGACATAGAAAGCATGATGTGTGTGTGAAATACGTGTACACACAGATTTGTTGGTACCCTTCCACAAAAATAATAAAAAACAAACACAACTGATGTGACAAAGCCAAAATGTCCTAGTTTTGTCTCCTCATTCTCAGAAACTTTGTTCATTTCAGTGACTTCCTGTCTGACCTTTCAGTCAACAGTGGAGCCTCATGGAGCCGTAATGAGCCAAAATGATGTTGCCATCAGAAAGTGACGTACCTTGACCTGTCCTGCTTGAATAGTTCTGGATGGTTTCCTTGGTTCATTTTCTACTGTTCTCACTACCCACCTGATCAACGTGGGGTCGCACTTCCTCTTGCGTCCATTTCCTGGAAGGTTGTCTCATAAACGTTACACTTTTTAAAGCTACTCATTGTAACGTATGAAATAAAACACACAGGTTATGCTCAACTACTTTTTTGCAGATATTTGTACAAGTGTATAATCTGATGTCCACTGGGATGACTGCAGTCTGTGTAGATAAACAAAGATGGTGGAATCAGACAAACGATGACTCTCAGAGAAGACGTTTAGGTGGAAATAGAGTGACTCTGTTGCTGAAACGCAAACAACAAAAATGGAGGAAGAACGAATAGAAAGAACGAATGAGATAACCATCGAGACTAAAAATCAGGGGTTAAGCGGGGCGGTAGAGCGCCATAAAGAGAGCGTTCAAACACGTGTGTTTTCTAAAACTTGTGCTAGACTGGTAAGTTTACAGTTTCAACGTTGTGCTCAAAGGCTAACCGACTTTACTCAACTGTAAATACGTACCAGTTCATCACAACTGTCAGGCTTCTTGGTGCCAAACATTTCTTCCATGGATGTCGTCATTGTTGACGTTCGGTCACTTTGGCTGTTTCTGTAGGTAAACCACTGTGTGTGGTATTGGAATAAGATTTATTATCATTGTACCGAAATACAGTGAAATTATGTTCGTACAGTCGTCCGAAAGATGGGCGGAGTGCACGTTGCTGCTCCTACTGGAGCGCGGCCTCTTATCCTTTTCAGAATACTTTTTTTTTTTTAGATAGAAGGTGGGAAAAAGCCATGAGGAAAGGATAGTGGCATTACAAAAAAGATCTCTTCACATCTTGTCCTACCAGGACAAGATTTAAGACCTCAAAAAACTCTACGAGCGAGCACATTTATAACGCACTACATATGAATTTGACGGCAAGATGGTGAGACTTGTCCATGAAGCACTTCCAGATAGACCATAGTCCTGATAAGATGTTGGTCAGCCGGCACAGTTCTGATAAGCCTCCACAGAAGTTCTTGGGGGGGATAGATGAAGTTTTTCCTTAGTTTACACATTTCCCAGGAGAAATTTGATGAGTCGGCCTGCTTTTGAGGCCAACTGGGGGAGTCTGATTCAGATAAGCCTCAATTGTTGATTTTTTTTCAGGCAGACTGTTTTTTTTTCTCTTGTCAGCCTTGAGTCCTGCTGGTACTTTCAAGATCCAAAATGGCCAGATTTATGGGCCTTCCACTGGTCCGTGCTTATGAGCCTCCTCCAAAGTCGTTTCCAACATGCTGGTGAGCCCCAGAAGCTGCAGGTGGCCTGCGATTCTCACAAATCGCTTCCATCTTATCGTTTAGCTCGTAAATCGGCTGATTTTGAGTCCTCCAAGCTCAAACCAAACCTTCACAAGGCAGGCAGCCTGACGAGGGCCAAATTAGCTGCAGCCGTCTTCTTTGTTGATAGACCAGGAACCAGCTGATTCCAAAAAGCAGGAAATCAGTTATCATAAATCCAATTATATATGTCTTCGGCGTCCTCCTGAGACAAAACGGAAAGACACATCAGCTCCCACATCCATGACATCCTGCAGCGTGAGTCTCCACGGGACATGAGGGCTCTCCAGGACCCTGTCACTTTGTTGTTGCAGCTGACCAGATCCATGACAGTAGTTTTCGTTTTGGAAGATGTGTAAAATAGGAGCTCCGATACACAGAGAGCAAAAAAGCAGGAGGAGAACAGAGGAGGGAAGAAAAGGCGTCCGCCTCGCACAAGACCAAGTGAGAAAAAAAAGAGAAAAAATGAATATATATATATATATAGATATATATAGATATATATATATAAATATATATAGATATAAAATTTAAGGACAAATTAACCATTGCTATGGGAAAAATGTTGTGCAGATTAATTTTATTAGTTTATTAATTGAATTTTTTTGGTCTTGTGGCTTTAATGAGTGACAAATTAATAGTCTTATTCTTTTTTTTTATTAGCATCACCGATGTCAAGTTTCTCATCAGTCTTTGAGCCCATTCAAAAGAAACACAACTGCTAATACTATTCTAGATACTCATTGCAAGTCATAAAGACTGTTGTGTTACTTTTTCTTATCTTTTTTGTGCGTTTAGCTGCAGATCCACTCAGATGTTTCCAAAGAAACGTCTTTTCCAAGATTCAACGTTTGTCTGATTCCACCACATCTATTTTTTACCTGTGCAGACCGCAGCCGGCCTTATGTAGGTCAAGCACTTGGCTCAAGCTTCCACGTGGATTTTAGGCAGATTCAGCCGACAGCTTTGTTTACATTAAGTGCACACCCGCATTCCAAAGCTGCATATCAACGTATTTAGAGGAATAACTGAGCAGATTATTTCAAACTGCAACATTTGATACAGTTAAGGGTAACCATTTTTATGCTTAACTTGTGTAATGAGTAACTTTTAAAAAAAAGTACAAGGTTCATTGGATTTAAGACAACCTAAGAATGTGGACGCAAGACGAAATGCGACCCCATGTTGATCAGACAGATAGTGCTAATAGGAGAAAAAAAAAACAAGAAAAACATTAGAAAACATTCAAGCTGAACTCTTAAGGTCTGATCGCTCCATCTTTTTGACTCATAACGGTCTCCATGGACAAAGACTCAGGAGGCTCCACTCAACAAAAAAACAATAAATAAGACAGACGACAAGTTACAAAAATGCATGCATGCTGACAAGAGCCAGAATTTGACAGATGACAGATGAGACAAAACTGGAGCTTTTTTATCCCTGGTCACATCAGTTGTGTTTTTTAATTACTGTGGAAGGGGACCAACAGATTTCTCTTTTGATCCATGCTCTGCAGCTTCCCTCGCTGTGCAGGAGACAGAAAGAGCACGCTTTCTGGCTGGACTCTTCTTCTCTGCTTCCTGTCTCATCATGTTATAGATGATTCAGACTCCTGCAGCTCTCAGAGTGGTGAGCTGTGAAGCCCCAGCACCACCGATAGAAATGTGTAAAAGATTAAAGTGTCTTTTTGGATGCGACGGGCTGTTTGATCACATGTTTACGGAGATGCATGGTCCTAAATGCACATTAACACTCACCCACCTTGTGTTATTTATTTGCTGAGGAGAAGGACCCATTATAGGTCTGACTAAATTGGAACAACCTCCAGGCCGAGGCTCGGCAAAGCTATTACTTTGAGTCAATAGACATTAATATGCCCATGCTCCATCTTGGCCTTGTATGGCGCTGTCTCTGTTCCCGGCGAAACACGGCGCCGCTCCACCGGAGTAACCAGAAAGATGTTCTGTATTGCAGCCCGATCTGTTTACCCCCGTGCATCAATCTGTCACAGCTGAACAAGCACAGAGGAGCGATGATAGCATCGTCTCGGCCAGACATCGCTGTGGCCTCGAAAGGAAGCGATGCAAAACGGAAAAAAATGGGATGTGCCAGCTCTGGTGAGGAGGGGTCACGACCCCCATGAATCAGCGCGAGGCCTGACGAACGGCGGGTGATCCGAGGGTGCATGACTACATCGATCTGAGGTGGAGCGCTACATGAAGCGGCCCAGCGGGGCACAGAGAATCAGACAACCTGAAAGTCACTACCCGAGGGGAGGAGGTCACGGGGTCAAACAGCCAGTCGGGGTTCAGCAGACTGGAAAAAACACGTTTGCACAGGAAATGTTATTAAAATGTTAGAATATAAGTTATGGGTCAATCCCAGCTCCTGATTTGAGCTTAACATCTGTGAAACTGAGTTATCGTCACCTCTGTAATCTGTGGCGGCCATCTTGAATCAAGTAGACTCCAAAACGTAAACCGGGTGCGGACGTTCATCCATCCATCAGTTCATGAGATGTTTAGACACAAACACGATCGCCTTCATCTTGGCGATACTAAGAGTCGGAGCTCGAAACGGCGACGTGAGAACAAATGGACCTGGGAGCAGCTTCAGTAAGACCTGCCTGGAACATCACGTGGAACAAGGCGTGTTCCGCCCGTTCGGTTATCGCAGAGTTTAGTTTTCTCTTCTGTGGAAATAATTAGACGTTTCGGCAAATAAACGGTGATTCCCATCAGTCTGCGTTTTATTAACGGGAGCAGAGGTTAACAGGAAGAGGCTGGAACTGATTATAATGAACTGTAAATAAATCTGTTGAACCTCCACAAGTGAGAGGAGGGAAAAACTCGATGCAGTCTCGTTTCAAAATGAAAAATGAAC